AGCTTGAACGGCCGCTGAGGTCCGAGCCGGGCGTGCTGAGCCCCGCGGCCACCCCCGGTCCCGGCCATGAAGAGGGACGAGCGAGACGCCAGAGCCATGCGGTACCCGCAGCCGCCGGACGGGGTCGGCTCGCCCCCCGAGAGTCTGAGGAACGGCTACGTGAAGAGCTGCGTGAGCCCCTTGCGGCAGGACCCTCCGCGCGGCTTCTTCTTCCACCTCTGCCGCTTCTGCAACGTGGAGCTGCTGCTGCCGCCGGCCTCCCCCCAGCAGCCGCGGCGCGGCTCCCCCTTCTCCCGGGCGCGCCTCGCTCTGGGCGCTCTGGCCGCCTTTGTCCTCGCCCTGCTGCTCGGCGCGGGGCCCGAGAGCTGGGCTGCCGGGGCTGCCCGGCTGCGGACCCTGCTGAGTGTCTGCTCGCTCAGCCTCAGCCCCCTCTTCAGCATCGCCTGTGCCTTCTTCTTCCTCACCTGCTTCCTGACCCAGACCAAGCGGGGCCCCGGCCCGGGCCGGAGCGGCAGCTCCTGGTGGCTGCTGGCGCTGCCCGCCTGCTGTTACCTGGGGGACTTCTTGGTGCGGCCTTGGTGGTCTTGGCCTTGGGAGGACGGAGACGCAGGGGCTCTGGCCCCGCACACACCCCCGGCGACGGCGGGCAGGTTGTTCTTGGTGCTGAGCTGTGTGGGCTTGCTGACGCTCGCGCACCGGGTGAGGCTCCAGCACAGCATCCTGGTGCTGCTCTTCTCCTGCTTCGTCTGGTGGGTCTCCTTCACCAGCCTCGGGGCGCTGCCTTCAGCCCTCAGGCCACTGCTGTCCTGCCTGGTCGGGGGCGCTGGCTGCCTGCTGGCCCTGGGGTTGGATTACTTCTTTCAAATCAGGGAAGCTCCTCATCATCCTCGGTTATCCAGTACCGCGGAAGAAAAAGTGCCTGTGATCAGACCCCGGAGGAGGTCCAGCTGCGTGTCTTTCGGAGAAACTTCGGCCAGTTACTATGGCAGTTGTAAAATGTTCAGGAGACCTTCGTTGCCTTGCATTTCCAGAGAACAGGTATGTTAGCAGAAAGCAAGGTTTGGTAAGGAAGTGAGCGCCGTTTTATCGCTTCAGTTCTCGAGTTCAATTCGCGTTGTTTGAAAGCATGTTAATTTCCAGGGTGGAAAAAAAAAAATAAACCGTTTTATTTTGGAAAGAATTCCTAAAATACAGGAAGCTTTTTAAAAACGCACAGCTAGTACCTTTTATCTTTGAATAGAAATAAAATAGCAAACTGATCATATTGCAGTTTTTAAAAACTTTGTTTATGCAATAGATGAGTTCTCAGAAGAGTGAATTATTTGTAGTTTAATAGATTGACTACTCCCACTTTGGCATACTCTGATGTACATCATTTTGGTGCTATTTATCTTTTGCTCTTGTAATGGTGTTATCTCCCCAAAGATAACAGATGAGTGAATGCACATATGTATGAATTTTAATCAGTGCGGTTTCATTATTCTTGATTTGAGAGGAAGAATTTGAGATCTTATAATGAGCATTGATGAGTTTTGCAGCTGAGATTTTTAGTTTAGATGAAAATACTGTTGCAAATAATTTTTAAAAGATTCCAACCCCCACCACGAATTTAAGCAGTATAGGCTAATATAATCTTTTACAGATTATGGTGGTGTGTATTTGTTATATAATTAAGAGAATGTTGTAACAATTTAACCTTTAAACTTAGTAGTGTGTGGAAAGATGCCAAAATTTTTTTTTCCCAATTTTTTTTCCCCCTGTAGGTTTACATGGTTTTGTTTTTTGAAGGAATCGAAATCATTGCCAGGGAACGAACTTGTCTATATATACCCTAGGGAAATCTTACCTGTTCTAATCACCAAGAAACTCAGCAACTATAGCTACTGTTCATTGAGCATCTACTAAGTGCAAAATGCTTTACATATTGTCTTAAATCCTCACAAGAACCCTGTATGATGGGTGACATTACTTCAATTTCGAGTTGAGCAAATTGAGGCTTATAGATTACCCAACTTCATGTATCTAGAAAGTGGCGGCGTTGGGATTTGAACCTCAGTTTTTCAGTTTTCAATGTGTGTTCTAAGCAACTAAAAGGATGAGTGTAGAAGTTTTATGTAGAAGAGTAGGAGTTTATACCATTGGTTTTCAGACTTTTTGATTAGTGATATGTTTTACACTAGGATCCAATATATTTGAAACAAAATTTTCTTATTCTTGCTACATCTGATGCTCTCTTCAAAGTAATCTACAAAGTGCTATATTAATTTTATGATGTGTTTAACACTGATCTCTGGTGTTCCAGTGAGACCACACTTTGTTTCTGGAAAGTATTTTCAGAGGCTGCTTTTGTGGTCTGTAGTTACTTGACCAAATGATTGAAAAAAATGTTCAAAAACTTTTGTCTTCTCAGTTTACCACCAGCGGTAATAGACAGTGCTTAGAAAAGTGTATATCAAGAGAAAAATTGTTGTGAGAAGATTAACTTTAGAGCAAAGTAATATCAGCTGTTTTTATAGACTGGTGCAGCACTTGATGGTTGACTGAGTAAAGTGCATTTTTTAACACCGGAAAAGTGGGTTAGCATAGTCTCATCACGTTTGTAGATAATTTTCCTGAATTTAACAGATTACAATTTAACATATTTTAATTGTTACCTGTCGGCATAGTCAATCATGGCTGTTCTCTAGTGAATTGAAAATTCCTGGTATTCCTAATCCTAGTCTGGAGCTCCTTCCATCACAGCAACCCCTTATCAATCTTTAGGTAGGTGCAGTGTTGTTATGCTACGTGGCTTCATTTATCATTTATATTGGAAGAAAATACAATTTACCCTTTTGAAAAGGGCGTATTATCCCATTGCAGAAAACTCTTATTCACATTCCACTATGAATAGGAACATTTTTGGGGTCTTAAATATATGCTAAAAGTTCAAGGGTTTATACACTGTTACTTAATGTTCAGTGTCATAAAATAATACTATTTTGGCATTACTAGAATTACTAGATATTTTTAATTTAGCAGAGATTGTAATAACAGGAATTTTTACTTATGCTTATTCTTGAAGTTTGACAGTGGGTCTGTGGTTTTGTTTGCACTTTTTATGTAAAGAAATTAAGAGGAAATCAGTGATTAATGGAACTGAAAATCAAAGGACTTTCTAATTTTCAGAGTGTTAAACTTTGTATATGACAAGTGTAATTCACTTTATTGTTTCAGAAACTGAAGGGAGACAGAAAGATTTTTGAATCCAAGGTGTAATGATTGGAAAAGATGAACAAATGTTCTGTATTTTTTGAATAGAGGACTTTAAAAATTACATGTGGATTCATTTTTGGATTGATGACAAATTATTATACTTTCATTTCCTTAAGAATTTTATAAGTGTCTGAAAAATAATTGAAAACATATTAATCTAAATGTTTTTAATTGTGTGAGAGTAGATTTAAAACAATTTTTAACTTTTGGGATGTTATATTAAGTACTGTATTAAAAAATAAAGTCACGTTTGTAAAACATTTGATTTTCATAGATTTATAGTATTTGATGTAAATGCTATCCATGTGTAGTTCTTAACGAAGGTTTTTTTATTTTTTATTGTTTTTAGCTGAGCGTTTAGAGATTTAAAGTTTAAATTTGGTTACCGATGACTGTGTTCTACCTTGGTACATTAATGGAAAGAAGTACTTAAGTTTTTAGTATACTTGCCAGGAGTCAACTTAAACTAATAGGAAGTTAAAAAAAAAAATCAGTTGTCTACATAGAAGCTTTGACCAGAATTCAACAAGCTACATTTCTAGGCCATATTAATTGTATATTCTATAATGTAGTTTTCAGCTTTTCAGCCAGATCATTTCATGTGTGTGATAGACTAGGTAAATATGTATGAGGTTTTGAAAATCATACGTTAGTATGTGAAATATTTTTCTATACCTAAAATGCTAAGTGCTTTCTAAATGGTTAGGTAAATATTTAAAAATTCTGTGGCCTTAAGGCCCATAAATATTATTTAAAGTGTTAATTTTATTTGAAGAAGTTATAGACGTGTAGTTTGAAGGCTTTAATTTTTTTTTTTTTAAGTTTAAGTGATTATTTACTCCCTTAAGGAATTTGCAAAGCATACCTCATTACGAATTTAAGAATACTGTAGTATTTGTGAAATTTATTTTATGGTTTCACGAATACTGTAGTATTTGTGAAATTTATTTTATGGTTTCAGTGAGTAGTGTTTAATTCTAATTTCATCTTAATGTTTTGTAGTAAAATATCAGCCTACGTAATAATTTTATGCTCTATTTTATAAATATTATATGTACTCTATCATTGGAGTTACTGTTCAAAAACACAGATTTGATCAAATCACTCGCTCTGTTTTAAAAACCTCTTATGGTTTTTCATTGTCCACAGGATAAAGTGGGCAGTGATCTTGAACCTTGCTTGCTAAGTCCTTTATAACCTGCTCTTAGTCTTTTTTTGTTTCTTTGTTTTGTGTTTTAAAAAGCCATCTAGAGGACTTAGGGGACACCCCCTCCCTGCATCCATCCTTGGCTTTAGCTGTTTGAGGACTGCTTATTGTTATTGACTTGTAGATTTTTTTCTTTTTCTTTTTCCAGTCACACTGGTTGAAATCTCCTTTAAGGAACAAATAAGATTAAGAAGTCTTTGGACTGTATAGTGATACTCGAATTAATGTGTAAACTGAGAAAACTCCATTATAGCAGAGTTGGCCATATTTAAAAATAAAAGTTAACAGATTATGTGATGTGTGACAGAATATTCATTATATCTCATGAAATAGTAACATCTCCATAGTTTGTTTTCCCACACTGAGTGGAAAGTAAATAGGGCCAACCATAAGTAAAAATGTAGTTTATTTTCATTGTCCTCAGACTTTTTATCTTCTTCAGTGGCATGCCTTTCACTGATTCTCTTTTTCTTTTCCCTTTCAGTGATCAAATCAGCCTGTTTCCCTAGCACATTCTCCTGCCTTCCTATACCCCAACCCAAGCAGGAAGAATTTATACTTGCTGAAAATGTTTACTTCCACCAAAATATGTTTGTATAGATATAGAAGAGATTCAGAGTTTATCTAATTGAAATCTGCTCATTTTATAGACAGGAAAGAAATTCAGATTTAACTCCAGAGAGTTAAAAATGTTATCTCTAGGTTATGTTGTGAGATAGTTGGGATACAGGGACTAGAACCTGGATCTTGATCCTAGTCCATCTATGCTTTCCACAAAGAGCATAAGTACCTGTGCAGTCATAGTTTTCCAAGGTTATAATTAATTTTGCCAGTTCTATGATAAATGACATCTCTTCAAGAGTTCAGGGGTACAGGTGGGAGAGAGAGGGAAGAGAGAGAGATAGGAGGGACTCTTGAAATCATATAGTTCATAATGACCTTGTAGATACACTTGGTCCCTGATGTAGTTATTTCAGGGTGACTTGTCAGGAGGAAGCTGGTGTCAAGCCCAAGTGCCTTCAGAGACGAGCCACATAATATGTTTTTGTTATATGTTGAAGGAGGGGAGGGTAAGGAGAATGGAAGTCACTGACTATTGCCTACTTTGCCTAAGAACATTCAATTTAAACAAAACAAACTCAACAACTGTGTTAGCTAAGCAAAAGTTTAGGAGATCCAGATTCTGTCTGTAGGTAGTTTCTGACAGTTAATAACATTGAGTTGGTGTTCAACTTATTTCAAAGCTGATCTATATATGTTTAAGTGATTATTAGAAGCCTGTTCTTAGAACTTGGGGCAGAGGAGTGTATTTCATACTGTCATTTTCTTTTACAATCTAGAACTTTCCTTCATGTATGGATTTACCTAGCAGGTATCTCATCTTTATAGATTTTTCCTCCATCAGCTGGAGTACATTGGCTACTTCTTACATTTCAAACAATGTGCATTCAGCATATTTTACATTTATTTAATTAGCATTTAAATTTTAAATGAGAAATATCACACATAAAAGAATGTACACATGTATATTTTTCTATGGTTAAAGGAAGAAAATAAAACAAAGGGGGAAAAAAAG